GTAATGCATTAACTAAAAACACAAATAAAGGCAGTAAGCTCTGTAACATCGGCCTTAATAACTAAAAAAAAAAAAAATATTGGAAATTCAAAAATTCTGCAGAATATACACCTTCTTCTCTTATTAATTGTATAAACTTGTTAAGTTTATATCATCTTAACCATCCAAATAGAAATCAGCAATTTACTTTATCAAATAAAAAAGAATTTAGATTACTATAGTCTATATTAAATAGAAAATTGAAACAATTGAAAAATCCGAAACAATCATAAAACACCATAACAATTTTACAGATGAAGAAATACAAAAAAATTTCTAACATGATTCAATTACTATTAACGATCCTCAAGGCTTACAATATTGTGTTTTCATGTGGTGTTGTTTATTATTTCAGCCCAGAGGTGGCGAACACTATTCTATTAAAATATCACAATTTGTTTTTACGTCAGATGGAGGGTTGCAATTTACCAAATACTCGCAGAAAAATGATCAAGGTGGTATTGAAAGTGACAATACAGGTTTAGTAATACCAGTACCATCTGATTCTCTAGACATTCAAGGTCCTATTCATGATATAAAGCTCTATATTTCTAAACATCCTAAAAATTGTAAATGTTCTTATTTGCATCTTCAAATTAATCATAAACTCAAATATAAGTTAAGTATATATATGTATAATTTATTTAATATATTAATAATAATTATAATTATATTGTATTACATATTAATATTTTTCGGGTGTAGTAACATAGCAAAGTGGTCAAGTTGTCACCCCCAAGTGGCATGTCAAGAGTTCGAATCTTACGGTGATGGTTTATAATATACAGTATTTGACTATAAAAAAAATAATAAAATATTTATTACTATTTTTTTTTAAAAATAATAATTAATTTTTTTTTTATTAATCTTCGCTTTTGGCATTTTGCTTTGTAAAAAGTAAAAAAATCAAAATAAAAAGCTTAAATTATTTATAGGCATCATATATTGTCTGATCATCATCATCTATCGAATAAAATCATTATTGGCTACTTCGCACCAATAACTTTGTACCTGGCCTGGGAATCTGGTATACTGTATTAAATTCCAGATTCCCAGGCCAGGTACATTTTGTATTTGTCATCTGATACTAATTAAATAGTGATCAGCTGATCACTATTTAATCAGTATCAATATGCCAAATACTATAGTTATTGGATGCGAAGCATCCAATAACTGAAGTTATTTGGCATGCTGTAATGATAATATCATGATCTGCATGATCGTGATATTATTATTACACATAACAGATAACGGAAAGTATCTGGGCAGAATTTGATCGGGGGATGGCTGGGCCCCGCAGGGGCCCAGACATCTCCTGATCAAATTCTGGCCCAGATATTGGTGTGTAGATCCAATAACGGTATTATCTGTCAGATTACGACGATCGGGTATAACATGAAGTGAGTAAATAAGTTTTAATTAAAAAAAATATATAACGTTAAATAAAAAGATAATATGTATAAAAATCATATCATGTAAGCAAGAAATAGTGTAAGAGTATTTATTACAAAAAGGATTGCTAAGTTGTTTCGAATTATCCAATCGT